CAGTTTGCTTTGTTGCTTTCTCTCAGGGTATATGATGATCGGATCCAATGATCAATGAAGACAGCGGCTGTTGCAACCATATCCGCGGTCTCTGTATCGCCGGATTCACCGGCGAAGATCGTGACCAGAACAACTTTTGGTTGGAAGATTAAATAATGGTTGAGAGACGAACATTTTGTTATAAAGGGTCTTTCCTTAAGCGCTTCCTGTCTTTAAAGTTGAATAAAAAAGTGTGTGTGAGATATAATCAATTTGAAAGACCTATCGATGCCATTATGTATGGAATTAAACATCGATCGAATGTCCCCTATGGCTTCTCTGGAAAGAGCACATTCAAGTTTTCGAATCAAAATCTCACCGAGTTTGGTTTATTTGAAAAGCCGAGTAAAAATACGGAGACAGAATGGACCAGGAAACTAAAGAAAGTTTGTTAAATGAGGTATGTATGAGGTAAGTTGGACATTGTGTTCTTTTCAATAAAAATCAATAGTTTGCAGTTAAACATGAACCCGGGGAAATGGATCTACTCGTCAAATTTCCTCCGAAATGAATATTAGTCATACAAGTGCTTGGAGACATCTAAAAAAAGCGGTTGAAATGTTACAAAATACACAAAAATTGCATCCAGGTGGTCTCGAAAGGCGATTAGTATTTTGTAATTGGCTAATAAGAAGACCTGATTTTCCTGTTTTCCTGAAAAATGTAATTTGGACAGGTGAAAGCACTTTTACGAATTGTGGGTTATTCAACCAAAATAACGAACACATTTGGAGCATAAACAATCCCAGGCAGTTCCGAGAAATACGACCTCAAATGCGAATTAGCATTAACGTTTGGTCAGGAATTTACAAGAATAAAATTTTAGTTCCTCATTACTTACTTACTCCTTACTTACTTAACTCCTTAGCCTCTTATCCGTTCTCGACCTTGGCATTTCTAAAATGAATATCCTAAAGTAAACAATAACTAATTTTTTGATATTGTTAATTCGACTTGATTTCTTTTTTGTGTTCAAATTATTTATTTATAGTTTCTCCCAGTGTATTGTTTTATTTTATTTTTGTCTATTCAATTTGAATTTTTATGGCGAATAAAGACGTATTATTATTATTATCATTATTAATTCCATTGAAAAGGTCACAATGTCTAACCTACCTCACACACACCTCATTTATCAAAATTTGATTGATGATTCTGTCTCCGTATTTTTTCCTCGGCTTTTGAAATGAACCAAACTCGGTGAGATTTTGATCAAATAACTTGAACATAGTTCGATGTGGTTGTCGTCTTTCGGAATACAAGTTCAAATACATTTCCGATGTCATAACACTGTTTCTATCGTAATTGTAATAAATTTGTATCATATCTCTTTTTTCTTCATTCGTGACAACCATTTTTCGCCAAAAATTCAATGACTTGTACAATAACAAAATATCATTGAGTGTAACAAATTGAAAGTCAAATTTAGAAACATTGAAGTCAAAGCCTATTATGATAAGAATCAATTGAATATCTCCAATTTTTCAAAACAAAAAATGGTAACTTATGATACATCATTGAAAAGGTGAAATCTAGGTCTATTCAAAGCAGAAAGAATCCAATGACGCGCACATTAGAAACAAAAATTGATGATGGTGGCCGGAAGACGAAACGTCGGAAATTTAGAAAGAAAGTGCCTGATGGAAGACCTCATACATTTCATACAATATACAAGAATTTCAATCAAACTTCTCAGTGGAATACATTTCCGGTAGCTCCAAAGTTTTATTGTCTTCAATATCCCCAATGTCCATATCCATAAAAATATTGAAAGCAAAGTTCATTAAGTTCGTAATTACGTAATTTACGGATCGATAATGAGATAATGACTGCGGTTACGGGATATTATAACTCATTAGAATATTAATCAAAACGACATCGGACAAATCAACCAGTAATCAAGAACAGTTAAAAGTGATATTGAAACATGAACTTACAGAAAAACAGATTATTATCGGTACTAATTATCGGTTGATAATTGTGCGAAAATAAGTAGTAATTTGGCGACACGCTAATTGTGGAAATTACATCGGTAACATGATATATTTTTTGTGAGGAGTGATTACTACAGCCGCTGTTTCGGAATTATTATAAAAAAAGCATGCATGCATGAGACAATTTACGTCAAAAATTATTTTCAAGTAAACAGGATTTTGCAACGAAATACAGTTTTTAACGTTGTTAAGAGAGATAGTTCTCGTCACAATAAACTTGTCCCTCATTCTAAAGAAAATAGTATGCAATTAATGTAATGTACAGACCTTTTTTTTAGCCAATCCAACTATCGCTATCTCAGAAATAGTGAAACCTATAAAGTTCGTTGAATTGGACAAAAGTTTCCTATTTTGGGGATCTAAAATAATCTCTTTTCATAGAAATGTAGTTCAGTGCTCGGCTGCCGAGCACTGATAAGGTCTCAAACAAATTATCACCGTTGGAAGAGATCAACTTTGTTGCAGGATGCCACGGAACGATTTGAAGGAATAGGAAGAGAGACATTGGAAGATGATCATGGACCAATCTTTGCCAAGATTGAAAGCACGTGCTTGAAGATCCGCCAAGGCATGGAGAAGACCCACAACAGAAAGCGGGGGATGTTACTGAGGAAACAATGCCCAAATACATACCGAAAACATGAGAACTATGGAGCCGCCAACGTTATTAACATGAGTTCCCGCCCGCTCACCGGAATAGAGGAATCCTTGTTGAGGAAAGCCCTCAATTTCGCCATTGTGCCAATATCTGTACCTACTTTGGAGATAATTACTGCAGTGGAATCCACCAGTTCCCTATTGACCAGACCAAGGCAGAAGAATTCAGATGGAAAATCAGAGAACAGCTGGATCGAGAACCAGTTCCAACTTCTAACATCAGCAATGAAGAACGTAGAGCTCTGAACGGCCTACGTAGAGACAACACCATCAAGATCCTACCTGCAGATAAAGGAAAAGCTACTGTGGTGATGGATACTGTTCTCTACGAACAGAAGATCGAAGAGGTTCTTCAGAAGGGACGATACAAAAAGATCGTACGGGACCCTACTGCATCAATTGAAAGGAAGTTGAACCAGATTTTGAAAAAACACCAAGTCTATTTTTCGTGCAAGGAAAGATCATCGCTAACACCGCACCACAGCAAGCCTCCTCACTGTATGTACGACCCAAAATCCACAAGAAGGACGTTCCGCTTAGATCGATCATCAGCTCCGGAGATTCGACTACTCAAAACTTGTCTAGATTTTTACTTTCCTCAATACAACCATTACAAGAAAAAACATCGTATTTTGTGAAGAATTCAAGGCATTTTGTCGAACTACTAGGGTCAATTGAAGTCACATAGGAAGATCAACTGATTAGTTTCGTCGTGGAAAGCCTTTACACCAACGTTCCGGTCGAAGAAGCACTCCGAATCATACAGAGAAAGCTATCCGATAACGGAAACCTAAAAAGAGAGAGAATTCACCTATAGAAGTAATTATGGAATTACTAGGATGATGTGTACGAAACTGTTATTTCCAACCGAAGGACGAATTCTTTACACAAGATGAGGGACTGCCAATGGGATCGCCACTTTCACCAGTCATAGCCAACATATATATGGAGTTGTTTGAAACTCTGGCCATTGAAGAAGCCCACAAGAAATCTCGAGTCTGTTTGAGATATGTTGACGACACCTTAATAATATGGAACCATGGGAATACTNATGAATTGCCATTCTTAGACGTTTTGGTGAAGAGGACCGACACTAAGTGGGAAACATCTGTATACCGAAAACCCACTCATACGGGACAGTATCTGAACCACGAATCCAACCACCATCAATCGACTGAAAGGGTAATCATCAAGACTCTATTAGACCGTGCTTTCGGGCTCTATAACACGAAGGAAGGTCTGGAGAAGGAACTGGACATCATCAAAAATGATCTTCAACGAAATGGCTACTCCAAAGCGATGGTAAAAAAGATTTTGGCTAAAAGACAGCAGGAGCCTAGCAAGGAAGAGAAGCCGTCACAACCAGTGCTTGCACATTCCTACATCAGAGGATTACCGGAGAGGATAAGCAGATTTGGTTCCAAGTACAACATCAGAACCAGCTTCAGATCCGGTAACACTATCCGTAGCAGCCTCTCGAAAACCAGGCCACCAAACGCGGACTTTGATTCCAAGAATTGCATTTAACGGATACCGTGTGAGTGCGGAAAATCCTATATTGGTGAAACTAAGAGGCCATTGAATGTTAACATTGCCGAGTACAAAAAACACACACAGCGAGGAGAAACCAGCAAATCAGGAATAGCAGACCATGTTTAGACCCATCAACACAACATCGAGTGGTCCCAAGCTGAGATCTTACATAGAGAGGAACATTGGTTTAGGAGAAAATTCAAGGAAGCCGCATACATGTTGTCCAACAACGTATTCAGCCAAGCCAGCGTAGAAATACGCAACATATGGAAACCCATCATCAAGCGAAAAATGGCCAACTCCCGCCAAACGGTCATTTCTCACGGAACCAGTGAAGTGGAAAATGGAAAGCGGGGATAAGTGAAAGTACTCGAACGAACTATAAATAGTCATCTCTTGGAGGAATCAGTCCAGTCATCACCCGAAGACGATTGTAGATACTAACAATCGAAACGTCGTCAACTGACTTGGCTTGAAATCTCTTAATTTTTCATTTTCATCTTTATTTTCATTTTGTATTTCTTCATTTTTGTTAAATTGTTTCATTTTTACTTGTATTTTATTTCACTATTATTTCATTTCAGGTTTTTTTGCTTAATATAATCGTTATTTACAGCTATTTATTTTCAATTCTTCTTTTTTAAGTTGTTTCAGGGATTTCAAATCATTTTACATAGTAGACAATGGAAGTCTGAACTAGCGAAATTCATCATGAAACATTGTCAATCACCTTCAAACAAGTGTATGTGTCTTACTAAAATGTTTTTGTTGTTCCAGAAAAGTTCGTGGAGACTTCATCCCCCGTACCTTCCACCCCCGAACCCGTAGGCTTAGACTGTACTATAGTGAGTGCGGACAATGAGAGTGGCCGCGATTCCCCGGTCGACGTTTCGTCCACGTCGGAATCAGGCCTTCCCTCCCAGTCGCATTCGACCGGGCGGCGGTCTCCCAACAAGAACCCCCTGCTGCAGGAAAAGTGCACCTGCGAGGAGTTGAGGAATGTCACCTGCCACTTAGAAACTAAAGAACTCTGGGACAAGTTCAACGACCTCGGGACTGAGATGATCATCACAAAGACTGGGAGGTTAGTATAAAGATCGGTTTTTATAGAAGTTGTTCACTGATAGTAGATATAAGTGAGACTATTGAATGATGAGATCTCAATTTCAAACTCCTATTGATAATAATAGTAGTACATTTATCATTCATCAATATATAGAGCAATACGGAGTAATTTTTCTATAACAAAAACATTTAATGGAGATGAACGAAATGAGAGCTGATGAAGGCAAAACGGTCATAGCTATGACAAAGAAGAATACGTGGAGAAGACTTCAGACTTTCTAAATGCTGGCATGTAAGATAGTCTCAGAAACGACCCCACCCATTTATATCAGAAAAAAGTCAAGGAAACTTTTAAAAATATTCATTGTGTCATAGATGAAAAGGAAAAATTCCGATCGTTAGTCATGAACCCACAACCACCGAAATTGTATTCATTGGTTAAATTACACAAAGATAACTACCCGATAAGACCGGTAGTTTCTTTCGTCACAGCTCCTTCAGTTGAAATATCCGAAAAACTCCTTGCAATTGTTCGAAACCACACCAATTTCAAATCAAAATTCAGTTTGAGGAATTCATACCATTTGATCAATGAAATTTAAGATATTACACTCCCGGATAATGCCAAATTGATTTCATTCGATGTGAAGAATCTGTTTCCCAGTATCCCTCCGAATGAAACGATTACTTTGGTGGGGAATCTAGTAGACACAAACTTTATCAATCCAGTAGTGAAAAATGAAGTATTAGACTTGCTTACGGTATGTTTGTCACAGAATTACTTCCAATTCAATGAAAAGTTTTACTCATCTTGCAAAGGTCTCATAATGGGAAACCCACTTAGCTATTCTGGCGGAGATTTTCATGGACGATTTGGAGAAAAGAATACTCAGTAACCCACTGGTAAGAAGTTTCCTGTATTGGTATAGATATGTGGATGATATCCTGACAGTTGACAAACTTTTTGAAGTTCATAAATTCTCTCCACCCATCTATCACATTTACAGTGGAGATGGAACAGGACGAATCTATAAATTTTTTGGACTCGACAATAGTAAAAGTTAACAACAAACATGATTTTTCAATTTATCGTAAACCGGCACATACAGATATTATCATTCATAATTCGTCCACTCACCCATATCAGCATAAAGTAGCAGCTTCCAACAGTATGATCCACAGACTGATAAATGTACCTTTGTCAGAAGCAAATTTCAATAAAGAACTGAATATAATAAAGCAAATAGCCGTCAACAATAATTATGATAGTGGTCTGATACATTCTTTATCATCAAAGAATTTATACAGCTAAGCTTTGAAAGAAGTTTGCCCAATTCAAAGAGAAGAGGATAAAAGTTAAAGAACCTTAACCTACTTAGGCCAATCCACTACAAATATTTCAGATTTTCTGCACAGCAATGGTGTAAATACTGCTTTCAAAACCAACAACAACTTGGGCATGCACATTAAAAATAACAACATAAAAGTTCATTTTCAGAAAAATCAGGAGTGTATAAATTATCGTGTGGGTCATGTCCGATGTTTTATATAGGTCAAACTGGAAGAACGTTCAAAACCCGCATAAAGTGTTATTCCAATGTTCAACAATATTATTATTTCGCTGTGAATAATTAGGCTGACAAATGGAAAATCGACGAACCTGCTTCCGTGACAAACATTGAATTCGGAATTCTTTTATCTGTTTTTGCTTTGACGACCTGCTGCCCCTCTACGAATGACAACCCTCAGGAATGAAATGCTTTTGAAACGAATGTTCCAGACTCTTCTAGATCGCTGATGTAACACTAAAACGTCAAAAAATATAGGCACGGTGAATAATACAACATTGATAAATACAGTGAACCGTTATTTGTTGAAAATCAATAACACTATACATGATTTTCTACAGTTTCCTTGATAGGTTTTATTTAACACGTGTTTTGCTACAATATAGCTACATCAGTCAGACCAGACTAATTGATAAAAGCTAGAATAATATATGAACTGCAAAAAACATTGAATGAGAAACGTGTGAGAGTCGTTGATGAATGCATCATATCAAAATCAAGTTCCAATCTAGAATATTCCAACTGGGAAACTGAACAAAAAAGTCTTAATATCCCCGTCAGTCAATAAAAGATCAATCAATATATTATCGTCTGGTAGAACAACTTAGGAAAAGTACTTTTCTTATCAACGCCATTACAATCTCAATTACAACATGTTTTTCATTAATTTTCGCTGAAGGATGAGATAATATGCACAGTTCTTAATCGCTCATTTAATGGAATAAATGAGCTAATTCGGGCAAAGATTCGTCTTTCTCGTTAATTGGCATAAAATTTCACATCTGCTCGCCATTTTCAGACCACACATGAAATTTTGTATCGCCACATCTATAGGGGGCTAGTTTCGAAGACGAATGTCTGTCATAGTACGGGGAAAGTAGGGAATTTTGGAGTGATGTCGCTGTCAATTGAACTTTGTTATTAAACTCTTTCTAG